CCTGTCTCCCCTCCTTTCACTGTGGCCTGTCTCCAAGAAGGAATCCTCTTGGCTCCACCATGTCCTCTTCTCCACCTGAAACCCAGAAAATCCTCAATAAAACCAATCTTTCCACCTCAAGTTCCTATCAGATAGTCACAGGAACAAAGAAATTGGGTGATAAGCCATTATCACCCACAGTCTAATAATGAGGAGATGGAGCTGAAGGGGGTCTACCTAATCCAGTGGAAACTCATATCAAAGGCATTGCCAGGCTCTTCGAGTGGACTTTATTTTAATGCGCTGTTTGTCTCTGACAAACAGTTGATATCTGGACACCAAGTTTGATCATTTTCTCATCTTTTCCTATTTGTGTTTGTTTTCCCCTAGATTTGTGAACATATGGAATAAGTTATGATAATTACTTTAATGTTTGTTTGCAAGTTCTACATCTGTTTCTATTTTGATTGATAGTTTTACTTATTAAGGGACTTATTTTCTTGTTTGCTTGAATGCTTATTAATTTTTGATTATATGCCAGACATTGAGAATTATACTTGGTTGGCTTCTGGATAGGAGCTTATATAGCTCAGGTTGGTCTCAAACTTCTGATCCTCCTGCATTGCTGACCAAGGGATGGGATCACAGGCATGTGCCAACAGGCCTGGTTTGCAGGGTGATGAGCATCAAACCTCATGTATGCTAGGCAGTTGGCCTCATGTACACTAAGCAAGCATTCTATCCATTGAACTGCATCGTCATCTCTTATTCATGCTTTTGTTGTTTTGTTTTTTTGAGACAGGTCTTACTATATAGTCCTAATTGGCCAGAAACTCAAAAATCTGCCTGCCTCTATCTCTAGGGTACTAGGATTAAAGGCATGTACCACCACATTCAGCCTATTTGTGTTCTTAAAAAATAATTTTCCATGGAACTATCCTCTCAATGTTTAGACTTGTGATAGAACTCGTCTTTCAGGCATTTTATGGCCATTGTCTTGAAATTAGAGGAGCCATGATTTCCTGCAGGAAACCTTCACAAGACCTCCAAAATATGGAGCCTCTCAACATTGTCTCATAGAATAAGGAGGTCATGAGACCTCTAACAGCGTTCATCCACCCCTATGGGAATCCTTCCCCAGCTGCACATGGTGTTGACAGGTAAGAATATAGAGGAGATAGAAACTTCACTAGAGTTAGGACTCTAGAGAGGCAGCTCCTATGAGTCATCAGCCATAGGCAGGCGGGTAACACAACTGCCTGAGAGTTACCCATGGTCTTGAAAGTAACCCCAATAAGCCTATTTGTTCACCAAGGAGGACTTGGATGGAATCATTTCTTAGGTCTGTTAGGGTAGTTAGGGGTGTCTGTGCTGTTCCCCAGGAAAAACCATGTAACACTTGCTTCTATGCTTGTATTAGCTAGCACCAGATTAGCCTTTATTCCCACTAGTGAGCCAATACTAGAACAACACAGTTGATTAAACTGTGCATGTGTGTTTAGGGATACATCTCTGAGTATTTTACTTGAAACCCCTATCTTGTGGCACTGTTTTCTCCTTGGGGAAAAACAAACCTGCAAACACAGCAACTATTTCTTCCTTGCCTGTGCCCTAGTGATGGCTTTCACATTCCTTTCTAATAGCTCTTCCCAAGACTTCAGGTCCTTTTCTCATACACAAGCGGTAGCAGAACTCAGGAGACTTGGTAAAAGTGATTAATAGCTACAAAGATCTCCACAATACTTTATGAGCCCGTTCTCCTCTCTAGTACCTTGACTGAACTCCAGAGCCCCACAAACTTCTAATCCTGTCTTCAGAACTTAGGAGATAGTTTGCCTCTTTCTGAGTTGGTCCCCTCCACATTGCCTCCTGGGAAATTTTTCTAGACAGTGGGCTCTGCATGTGTAGAGCTTATCACATTGATTTTCTGCTTCAGAAATCACTCTCCTGTGATGCCTGCTATCTCCTGCCTGAAAAAAATTGTTTGCCTCTGTATATGTGTGTGTGTGGGGGGGGGGGTGTAGCTGGAGGGAAACTCACGTCTCCATGATTCCATTTGTGTCAGCCACAGAGTCCCTAAATAGCTTTTTACCACATTACTAATGCTATAGTCTGAGTGAGCACTTGATTTGTGTCCCCTAAATATAACACATAGTTTAACCAACTGTGTTATGACTACATAGCACTGTACCTGGACTCAGCTTACTCCTCATTTTAAGGTCTGTTAGCTGCCGTATACCATTTGCATGTACAAGTTTATGTACATGGCTCTTTCAGTTAAAAGCCCAGGAATTCTAGTTGGGCTAGCTAAGGGAAAGTATCCTGTCAGCTCATTTAGCTAAAAGTTCAGAGATAGGAAGTATTTTCTGGTATGGATATGATGTTGTGAGAACTATGTAACTTTAGTTCCTGGAACTATTTCTCACATAATTCTTAAATCAAGGCCAAGATTGCTTTTGACATTAGAGGACTTCTCATTAATTCAGGTAACTACTTAAGGCATACATAATTGGTTTAACCCACAGTACCACCAAACAAACAAAACCTTATAGCTGTGTGTCTTAGTGTTTCTATACTGTGATGAAACACTATGACCAAAAGCAATTTGGGGGGTGTTATTTGGCTTACACTTCCACTTCACTGTTTGTTATTGAAGGAAGTCAGGATAGGAACTCAAACAGGGCAAGAACCTGGAGGCAGGAGCTGGTGTAGAGGCCATGGAGAAGTGCTGCTTACTGGCTTGCTCCCCATGGCTTGCTCAGCCTACTTTCTTATAGAACCCAGAACCACCAGTCCAGGGATGACACCACCCACAATGGGCTGAGCCCTCCCGCATTGATCACTGATTAAGAAAATGTGTTACATCAGGATCTTATGGAAGCTTTTCTCAATTGAGGCCCCCTTTTCTTTGATGACCCTAGCTTGTGCCAAGTTGACATGAAACCAGACAGTGCACCTATTATGAAAGTCCTTGAGCGGGATCAGGTTAGCCAGGCTAGTTCAGCTTCTTCTGCACTTGATTCTTAAAGTTTAATGAGCAGGTCTTGTCTACAGGTCTGTTCTCTTTCTATAGTCTCAGTAGGTGATTTCCTAGTGTGCCTAATAATCAGAGATCCGTATTTCTGTACCTCAGTCTTCTCAGCTCCAGATGTGTCTATCTGATGTCCTAATTGTTGGATTCACTAGGCACCTGGCAACTACTGAAAGTTTCCTATCTCCGGTTACAGGCACACTTTGATTGCTCCCTCTCCCTGGCTCCCCATAACTTACCCTTTTCCAAGTGCTAGCAGATCTAACTTCAAGATCTGTACAAACAATAGTCACTTCTGCTGTGTCCCACTGGTGTCTAGCGCAAATACTCATCCTGTCTCACTGAGCTTCGTCCTAATCCACACAACAGAGTTGTTTTATCTTTTTTTTGTGTGTGTGGTGGAAGGTGGTTCCTGGGATCCCACATCCCAGAGCAGTCTTTTTAAAATTCTCCAGTGTGTGTGTGTGTGTGTGTGTGTGTGTGTGTGTGTGTGTGTGTAAATGCACATTTGCACTTGCCTGTCTTGGAACACATATGTGTGTAAGTTTATGTTGCTTGTATGTTCATGTGCCAGAGGGTGGTATCAGAAACCATCGTGGATCATTTTTCCACCTTATTCATTGAAGCAGGATCTCTGAAATGCAGAGTTTAAGATAGGGCTATCTAACTAGCCAGCTTGCTCCAGCCTCCTAAGGTTGGAATCACAGATGGACCTCACATCCACATGCCATTCTAAGTGCTTTGCTGGAAATCTAAGGTCCTCATGACTGGGTCCCTCCACCTCTGGGATTTCACAGTGTGTCTTCCCTTCTCGAGTCTCCAACCACAGTTAGCTTTTTCTATTCCATGGTTACACAAGCTTTATCCCTCCTTGGGAATTTTGCATTTGCCCTTTTTGCTTGGAATAACTCCTCTCTTTCCCCTGAGTACCTAATTTTATTTTATTTTTTTTGCTTTTTTGAGTCTTAATGCAAATAGCATCTCTTATATGAGTGAGAAATCCCCTCTGGAGTCAGGTAACACATTCCCTGTTTATGAAAAACATTATTCCATTGTTAGTGGAGTATGACTCTAATTTTATCATTTTCTACCTCCTTTCTACTTTCTTTTAATATTTTTAAAAAATGTCTTCATTATTTTCTGTTTATAAAAATAACATTTTTTGGGGGGGTGAAAAGTCACCAAAAACAATTGAGATAGATAAGAAGTGAAACCACCAGACAAAAATCCCAAAAGACAGTTCACTTTGTCACCAGCCAGCCACTGACCCCTGAAACACACTTTAGCTTCTCTATGTTACAGCGGGAAAGAATGCTGAGGACTTTGTGGGAACAACCTGTTGAGTAGATAAAGTAAGTGGTGTGTGTGTGTGTGTGTGTGTGTGTGTGTGTGTGTGTGTGTGTGTGTGTGTGTGGTGTATATCTGTATGTATATGTGTATGTGTCTGTTTGTATGAAAGAAGTGTGCTGATATATTGTTTGTGATCTAATAAAGCTTGCCTGAAGATCAGAATGCAAAGCTAGACAAACAGGAAGATCTTTTCGTCTGTTTTAGGGTCAGAGGGGGTAAAGTCAAGGAATGCTAGATATGACAATTTACTGAACCCTTAATAAGCTGAGGTCCATGCTTCTAAACTGTATGCTCCTGATATAGACATGTTAGGGGAGGGGCTAAGCATTTTTTCTTCCTAGTTTTAAATGGGAGGGTGACAGACCGTAAAGGGTGAAGCAAGCAATTGGTCATTGACTGACAAGTTCTCCCACAGATTGGCAGTCTTGATCTAATTTTAGAGGATCCATAGATAATTGAAGAACATACTGTGAGACATCCTCCTAGGGATGCAGAGACAGAGGTGACATGGTAGTGCACTGGCCATTGCCCCGCTGTATTGTTTTACAGCAAGCCACTATGTGCTAAGCATTCTCCTTGCTCCTGAGCTTCAGAGACATGGTATAAATTGTTTTGGTTAATGATTTCACTTTTTTTTCAGATTCAGTGCATTTTCAGAGACTTCTGGGGGCCCAGGCTGCAGGAGACAATGATGGAAAAGAAAGACCAGTTGCTGTGTTTTCCTGGTGACAGACATAGTGTTGGTGGCATGGATGAACTCCCCTGGGAACAGCACCGTGGCAAGAATTTCCCAGGCTGATCTAATTCTCCTGTGTAATTCACAGATTTAAACACATCCCCTCTCTTTAGGCTCTCTAATAAAACCTAAAGGATTTACAGTTCCTTCTGTCTGAAGGATTTGGAGTACTTTCTGAGCTAAGTTCCTGGTCTATTGAGGGCTTATTTGGACAATTTCTTAAACTCAGGATTTATGTGGTTAAAAATCTACACTACTTCAAGAAGGCAGTTTCTCAGGACCCTCTTCTCAGTGAAGTGTCTTAGGGCTTTGCTCATAAGAGTCAGCAGTTGCACAAATCTGCTCTGAGCCACACAGTAGAGTATCTCATGACACAAAGTGAGATTTCAGACATATACATAGGATTAAATGACACTGATAAAATCAACAAAAGCATTTGTCCTTAAATATTTTTAATCATGCCTGCATAGATGTAAGTCAAAAGGCTTTGCCAGAATGGCTTATTTTCAGAGATTTATTATCTAGTTCAGGTGAGTGAAACAACTGTAAAAAGATAAGGTTTGGGCTAATCACTTTGATGTTCGATTTTGTTGCTTTGAAATACTCATGAAATAAAAAGCAGAAATATATGAAACTAGCTTAAAAATTAAAAGCTATCAATAAGCTTAAAATGACAAATAAGTCCTTGGCCTAAAAGGACATTGATTTTTTTTTTAGAAAAAAACAGATTATTCTAGTTTTCAAGTCTATATTTCTCAATGAAAACCTTTATTCCCATTTTCTCATGTTATTAATTTAAGACATCTGGTTATAACAGAATAGACTCAATCTCTTCTTGTATTATTTTTAAATTTATATTTGTGTTTATGTGCATGTACGTATGTAACAATCAGAAGAGAAACTAAGGAAGTAATTCCTTTCCTTCCATCATGTGGGTTCTGGGATCCAGCTTAGGTCATCAAGCCTGGCTACAGTGCCTTTACATAATGAGCTATCTTCCTGACCTCTAGAATCAAAATCAGTCCCCATCCTCTTCCTCAACAAGGTCTCACTGTGTAGCCCTGGGGGTCTGGAACTCACCATGTAGACCAGGCTAGCCTTGAACTCACAGAGATCCTCTGCCTCCAGAGTTCTGGGATTATACTAAATGTGATGGTTTGAATAAGAATGCCCCCCTTAGGCTCACATATTTGTTTGCTTGTTCCACATTGGTGGAACTGTTTGGGAAGGATTAGGAGGTGTGACTTTGTTGGAGGAGGTGTGTCACTGAGGGTGGTCTTTGAGATTTGAAAAGTCCATGCCATTCCCTGTTAGCTCTCTTCCTCTCTGCCTTGTGCTTGTGGATCAGATGTAAGCTATCAACTACTGCTCCAAAGCCATGCTTGCCTGCCTGCTGCCATGCTCTGCAACATGATAGTCTTAGACTCTACTATACCCTCTGGGTCCTTGAGTCTCAAATTAAATGCTTTAATATGAAAGTTGCCTTGGTCATGGTGCTTTGTCAAAACAATACAAAAGTAACTATGTAGTCACAACCTTACTTTTCTTTCTATCCATCTACTATTACACATCTCAATTTTAATTAAATCAACATCTATTAAAACTATATACTATGGTACATTCCCATTTTTAAGGCAGTTTTTACCTTCAGTTTTTAATTTAAAGCATTCCCCACCCATGAATCCTCCCATTCTACTCCAAAACAAAAGGCTCCATAAATTCAGCTGTCCTTACAAATAGGTTCCCCACCACCCCCAAGACATTCAATGACAGTATCCCAGACATCTAATTCCAGTATGGGCCACACAGCAAGCTTCCTGGAGCACCTTTTTGCTGCTCTTTAGGGTTTACTCTACTTCCCTTCAGATTTTATGTCTTCTTCTTTCTAGGCTTACTTCAATTTTTCTTTTCTTAAACAGTATTGCTATGTAGCTTAGGTTGACCTTGAACTCAGAATCCTTCTGCCTCAGCTTCCTGAGTGCTAGATGGCAGGCATGCACTAGCAACCTTGCTTTCACTTCTAATTTTAGTGGGGGTCATTCTTTAGTGAAAGGTATGAAGTGTATTCTACTTAGATAAACATGACTGTGTTCTGTACTCCATGTGTGTGGGTCGGGGGAGGGCATATGACAGACACACACATCCTATCTTGTCATTTGGGAGGGGCTACTCTACTGTCCACTAATTAGCAAAACCTCTGACTAAGTAACATCCAATGCCAGTCTCAGCTTCCAATCCTTTTAATGTGACCTATTCTTATTCTTCTTAAATATCTTCTTTCTTCCTGTGGCTATGGATTGATATGAATCTTTTCCCACTCAATGTGTTCAGCAGTTGGTACCTCCTTCAATTAGGAGCCTCCCAAGGTTTCTGTTCCTTCATTTGTTTTCAGTCTTCCAAAATAGCGGCATGATTTCTCACCCACTAATACTACTACTTCCAATTTCATATTTTCCTAAGCTGATTTATTCCTTCATCTTAGTGGGATATTGAAAAGGAGCAGAGATAAGCACAGGTAGTGAATCTGGGCCCCTTAACTAAAAGTTTGGACCACTTGTTTTTCCACTAGAGAAATTGCTTGCCCTCCTCATCTGTTAGCCCCAGTCCCTTGGGAGCTTACTGGGACTGTCAATCACCAGCAATATGCTCTTGATCACAGAGGTGAGCACATTTCTCAGATGAAGGCGAGATCAAGTAGGCAGGGAACCAGGTGTGAGGAAAGCATGGTAAACAGCAGCTGTACTTTTGTAGCTCCAGTAAGACACCGCTTTGTACCTAAACCTCGAAGCTGCAGTATGGTTGTTGCTACTACATCAGAAACCAGGCAGGAAGACATGTTCTCAGTTGTCACACATGTAGATCCACAAAGGACCAACATCCTCCAAAGACTCTCTCTTTGTTACACTCTCATTTACTTTGTGGCCTTGACTCCTCTTGTTAGTTCTTTAACAGGATCATAGAAAGAAATATCCTAACAGAGGACCTGTTCCACCATGATTTGGGGGGGAAAGGGCCATCATCATATGCTATCTATCTCATGAAGATCCTAAGAGCATCTTTAAACTCTACAATGTAGAGCCCATTGGGCTGCTGCCACCCTTTGGTGTCTGCCTTTTCCAATCTCTTTCTAGAGTGTAACATCGCTGAATGAGCTTCTGACTAAATGGTGTCCTTGGGCTGAATTATTTCCTCCAAGACAAAAACCAAGGAGAAAGCTCCTCCTAGCAACATGACCCAGCAAGTGATATCCAGGGGTAAATGAAGCTGGGTAAAGTACAGCCTCTCCTGTAAATATCATAGCAAGCTGCTGTGGATGCAATTCTGGAACCAGCAGTGGATTTGTTATCTCCAAATGGAGAAGATCTGTCAGCCTGCAAGGATGGCATCCAGCTGAAATAAAAAAAAAAAAAACTAGAATGTATTAAAAAATAATGTCTGAAATCTGAGACTCAATTGTCCTTTTCTCCTTTTCCTATCAAAATGTAAGAGAAGAGCGAATAAGTATTTCTTTCAAATTACACAAGACTGAAATTGGTTTCCCCTTTTTATCAGTTAATTTGTCTCAAGAATATTGTCTTATGGGGTAATATTTGGGGTTTTGCTGGGAATATCTTGTCTCAAAAAAAGAGAAAGAGTATCTTGTCTCCTACTGAGTGTAAATTGTCCAGTTTATGTTGGTAGAATCAAATACAATAGGGAGAAATTTATAAAGAAACAATGTTGCAGGAGACTGAGATGTCCAACCATGTAACGTCAGCCTCTGGTGGGGGTGCTCTTGCAGTGTGACAGTGTGGCAGAGAGCAAAGCATGCCACGGTAGCAAGTGTGCTAGCTCAAGTTTGTCTACACCTTATAAAGCCGCTTAATGCTGTTAATAGGCTGCAACCCTGGAAAACTCAACCATTCCTAATCACTTCCCAAATGCCTAACCTGTAAATTAAGATACAAATTTGGGGATTAATTTTCTGATACATCAATTTCTGGGAGATACATTTATAACCATAATTCAAAATGTTTTTAGGACAAAAATTAGAAAGTGGGACTCTAACTTTTATGAAAAACAAACGTTGCTCATATAGAAAGTCATTACTTTTATAAAAAGGAAAATTAAAGTTTTAATGGAGGATGACTATATATAGGGGTCCAAAAGGCCATTAGAGCCATTTCTTCCTGTTCTTCATATTGCCTTCTTTGGTGGCATTACTAGCCACCCATGGTTTCTTCTTGTGTGCCAAGATGGGAATCCACTTCCCAGTTTAAAGCAAGCTTGATCCTATACCTACCCTTGGAACAGTTTACAGAGCCTGCCCCAGTTACATGGACACCACCCCATAGGGTTTTGTGTGCAGTTCGAAAAGAGCACAAAGCCACACTGACATGTGAGTCTGTAGATGGAAAAGAAAGCCTACAGGCGTGCTTTCCTGGGGAATGCATACATTTCCATGAAGTTTTAAGTAAAGCAAAAGTATTTAATGCAGAGGAAAGACAGTTAAGACCTCCACCTTTGCTTGGGCATGCTTTAAATCATACCCTGAGCACAGAATGCTCTTATTACCTCCAGTCTCTTCTATAATATGCTTATATAAGCTTTTCTCTTCTACTATGGACAGTAAATGTGTAATTATATTTGCTAATCTATGCAAGTACCATGCATGTGAGTGATGGCAAGCTGGAGAAATTGTGAACTAAATCACAATTTATTTGTAATAGAGAAAGGAAATATATTCATTAAATGAAAGGGCTGGCTAGTCTCAGAGCTCTTGAAATAGAGTTCTAATTAATTTATAGATTTTAAAGGCCACTCTGACTCAGCCTCATAATTTGAGTAATAAAACTCTCCTAATGGTTTTACAGCAGATTTATAAAATAAATGAGCAAACTTAATCAAACCACAGTGCTCAGTCAATACAAACGTTTCTGTTGTCAGCAGTTTACTCTATCAATTGGGAGATTTAACCATGAATTTGGGTGGCTATGTTCTGCCTTCTCCTGGAACTGATTAGCTAGGTCTTCATAAATGCATTCTTTATAGTAAATTTAATAAAGGCATGTTCTTAGCAACCAGGTGAAGTTAAAAAAATCCTTCCCTAAAAAACCCCCCCCCTCCGATCTTCCTTCCCTCCCTCCCACCCTCCTTCCCTCCCTCC